GGGCGGCCGCGGGGCAGGAGAGAGCACACAGGGGCCTCTAAGCCCCCGGAGGTGGCAGGATGGCATCCTGGAGGGAGTGGCAGCTGACAGAAGCCGGCAGACATGGAAGGCTTAGCCTGGTGACCACAGGGAAGGGACTGCACCCCCAGGAGAGTCTTACAGCACCTCCGGGGAGATGGCAATGACTGCCTTTTGCAAGGCCCTGTGCCCCAGGCCAGAGTTTCTTGTTCCGTGCATCTATACCTAGGTCCTGCCCGAGACCTGGCCCCTGCTCTGTGCCCTCTCTGAGGGGCAGTACTCGCTGCCTGGTGGTTGCTGCCTCCTGGGAATGGCACCTGCTGCACCCCAGAGGGTGGGCCCCAGAGTCTAGCCGCTGCCCAGGCTGAGTATGGACAGCCTTGCCAGCCTTCTGCCTGCTGGCCCATCAGACGGCGGGCTCCAGAGGCCTCTTGCCAGGATGGGGCCATCCGCCCAGCTTCAGGGCCCCCCTGGGAGCTTCCCCTCCCCCTGCTCGGAGATGTCCCCCCTCCCTCATGAGGCTTCCTACCAAATCTAGCCTCTGCCCTCCTCTGAGGGACTGTGGGTCCCGGGAAGGAGACTGGTGAGGCTGGCAGGGAGAGGGGCAGTCTGTGGTGCCCAGCTTGGTCTTTGGGTGTACGAGGAGGGCAAACGGGCACTCGTGTGGCCTGGGAGATTCTGACTGGGGAGAGGCAGGCGGAGGGCAGGAGAGTGGAACAGGAACCCGGGGCCCTGGCAAGATAGTATGACTGTGTCACCAGGGGGCAGGAAGCTTCCTGGGCTTCCTCCCCACCCTGGGCTCTTGGGAGACCCCGCCTAGTGCTGGGCCACACCAGCGACAGTGGGTGTCAGTGGACCTGGGTTTTCAGTGCTGGTTCCTTGGCAGTGGGTTGCCAGGCCTTTCTGCTGAGGCGCTTGTAGGTAGAGTCCAACAGCTTACCATTTGTCTAGCCGCCAAGCATCTTCATTGTTTCCACCCCCACGAGCGAGGGGACCCCAAAGTCATGGTGGCCAGTGTCCCCAAGCTCTGGCTTTGCCCCGACCCAGGTCTCCCGCCTGGCCCTGTCCGGCCTCCGTAACTGGACCACCGCAGCCTCGCCAAGTGCAGTGTTCGCAGCCCGCCACTTCCGACCCTTCCTGCCGCCCCGGGGCCCTGTGGCACTGGGGGAGCCCTGGTGGATCATCCCCAGTGAGCTGAGCATCTTCACCGGCTACCTGTCCAACAACCGCTTTTACCCGCCACCGCCCAAAGGCAAGGAGGTGAGGCCAGGGGCCCCTCTGCCCCCTCCCAGGTCCAGCTGGGCCACCAGACCCCCACAGCAAGCCTCCCGACTGCCCTACCCCCACTGGGCTCGGACCTCTCCTGGGCCAGCAAGCCCACCTGGCCCTGTCCCCTGCCCAGGTCATCATCCATCGGCTCCTGAGTATGTTCCACCCTCGGCCTTTCGTGAAGACCCGCTTCACCCCCCAGGGTGCTGTCGCCTGCCTGACAGCCATCAGTGACTTCTACTACACTGTCATGTTCCGGTCAGTGGGCCCCACAGCACCCATCCCTGCCTCCCACCAGGGACAGGGACCCCTGGCACTGCAAGGGAACCGAACAAGACAGCAGCCCCCAGCTCCACCACGTCCTGCCAAGTGGTCTTGAGCGAGCCGCTTTGCCTTCTGCGCCTCGGTGTCCTCAGGGCATGTGGGAGCTTCGGTGGGGGAAGGGATGGAGGGCGCGTAGCACAGGCCTAGTGGCCTCGATGCATCACCAACACAGAAGAGGGTGACAGCTCCCTAGGGTGCCAGGTGGCGCATCCCCCGGAGAGGCTGTGGGAACCCAGTGCGTGGTCA